GTGCTGTAAATTACTCAACAAGGAATATGTCAATTATTTTATACTGATTTACTTCATCTATTCTATTCTACCAGCGTTTTTAGATTAATATAAATTCCAGATATTCAATATGACTTCTGATCTTCCTCGTGCTAGTGTTCAAGATGTTTTGAATTGTTCTTTTACAGTTTGGTATCCATTATTTGAACGATATTCTATTAAAAGGTAATCGAAAAGAAAAATCTTTATTATAATAAATGATTATATATTAATTCAGTGTTATGCTTAATTTAACGGATGATATTCTAGAATATCTTCGTTCTGATGATTTTTATCTTCCTACAAGGTATAATTTTTTGTTTTTTTATCCTTATGTTATTTTCAATGACTCATATTTTAGTGCAAATGAAGCAATGGATGAAATGCGTCGTGTTAATGCGAATCCATCATCTGATGATGATGATGACGAAGATCATGTGAGTATTATTTCGAATGAAAATTATCACTCTATTTATTGATTTCATTTAAATATAGTGGTCTGATGAAGATACAGATACAACAAAAAAGGTTGAATATAAGATATCATTTTAGAAAAGTTGTAATAAAATGAATTATTTTAGATTTCATTTCCAGAATTTGAGCAAAAAATCAAAGATGTATTAGATCAATATGAAGCTGTATTTCCAAAACTAAATTGGAGTAGTCCAAAAGTAGAATATAAATACATATATATTTTTATTATATATGGTTTATTTTAAATAGGATGCTCGATGGATGATAAGTGATAATCGATTAAAATGTACAAATCTAGCAGATATTTTTCTACTTTTAAAAAGTTCCGATTTTATCACACATGATCTTTGTGAACCGTAAGAGAAGAAAAAAAAGATTCTATTGTATTTTTAAATATATTTTCATTGTTTTTTGTAAGATTTAAATTTTGTTATGATGATGATCATAGTTTATTATCAACAATTAAATATGTACTTGTATTAAGAGAATGGTCCGCATTACAACCATCAAAAGAATTTCGATGTTTTGTCAAAAATAATCGAATTATTGGTATTAGTCAACGTGATAGTGAAAATTATTATGAATTTATTGGATCATCAGCTGATCAGATTCGTGATAATATAATAGAATTTTTTAATAGAAATATACAAAATAAATTTCCATCAACTGATTTTGTTATTGATATTTATCGTAAAAATTCAGTCAGTATCATTTTATTTTCTTCTTCAAATAATAGATTTATGAAATATTTTGTTTTAATAGAATAAATTATATATTCTTGATTTTAATCCATGGGGTCCAATGACTGATAGTTTACTTTTTCATTGGCCTGAATTGCTAAATCTATCTACAGAAGTAATTGACTGTATGCTATCGTCATGTATTAATATTAATTTTCATTGTAGAATAATAATGAAAAACCAGAATTTCGTTATGTAAATTCACAAAATGGTATTAAACCAAATAGTTATACACAATATGCAATGCCAAAAGATATTGCTGATATATCTCGTGAACGTGATCTTAATAAACTCGCTGATGTTTTAGCGGTAAAAAGATTATACAAGAGTAAAGAAATGAAATATTCGACTATTTTTTTTGTTCGTAGAGTCAAATACAAATACAAAATAATGATGTCGATAGTGACAATGAAAGGAATAGTTAATGGTTTTATGTTTTCTAAGAAACTGTTTATTTTGTCAAATTTTGTTATATTTTATTATAAAAAAATTACTTATTCGAAAAAAAAGACTAATCATTTATTTTCAGTGCTGTTCATTAAAAAAGTTTGTGATCTCTTTCTATATATGAGTTTTTAGACGTTATAGAAGCCAGAACGTTTTTTTGAGACATAGAACAGTGAGTACTGAACATATCTAGCAGTAAGAAATATTTTGAAATGTATTTATCTATCTACAATTTATATTTTTAAAAGACTATTGTTTACTATGGGAAGAAATAATATCTAATGAATAGTTCTTATGACTAGGAATGGAATCTAGGATGTATGAGTGACTAATGCGGAGAAAAAATTTGCTTTAATTAATATATCAAGATAAATTATTTACTTCAGATATGTCAAAAAGATTTTTTGAAACTGCTGCACATAGCGATTTTTACTCTCAATGTCGACCCACATATCCTGTTGAGATGATGAATAAAATTATTAATTATTTATCACTTAAAGTATGATTTACTCACATTAAGTATTCATTAATTAAGATATTTTTCTAATAGTACACTATAAACGATAATGATTTAGCTATTGATATTGGTTGTGGAACTGGTCAGAGTACTGTTTTACTTGCTCCATATTTTCAACGAATTATCGGTATTAAAATTAACATTAATATCTCATCTTTATAATCATTTTCATTTCTAGGATATGATGTTAGCGAACAGCAAATAAATAAAGCGAATGAAACTAATACACATTCGAATATTAATTATAAGATCTTATAAGATAAATTTATATAAGTACTTATAAT